TTTGCTGAAGTCTTTTATGAAACGTCAATAATACCCAACAGTTCTATGGAATAATCTTACTTCACTCTGGTTTTTTGGTTCTGGCCAATCTCTTATCCTTTTTTATCAACCTTTATTCCCTTTTTACTCACTATATAGCCGTACATATTCAACTCTTTATAACCAATGAAACACTTCTTTGCAGCAAACGTCAAACCAGCTTTTTCAAATGTTTTTGCTAACTCAACAAACACATCAATGTGATTCCTTAATTCACCATCGGTCCACAGCCCCACATCGTCTTGGTATGCTGCGGCCGTTTGTTTCTACATTTCTCCTTTTAAGACCAAATCCATTAACCTTTGAAAGGTTTCACTGGCATTTTTCAGCCCCATGCACATAACAGTGTATCGTAATACTCCCAACGTCGTCGAAACAGCCACCTTATCTCAATCCTCTTCTCGGATGCGTATCTGCCAGTATCCTTTGAATACATCCACACTTGAATACTATTCATACCCTGCCGCTTTTTCGAGTATATCTTGTATGATTGGTAGCGGATAACTGTCCTTGACAATATGTTTATTTAACAGTATCATATTTTCTACGGCACGTATTCGATCGGTACCACCTTCCTTTTTATCTACTAGGAAACAATGGTACGCATATGGCCCGTTTCCTTTCTCTAACAACCCATACTTTATCATTTCTTTCAAATGTTCTTCGAACAACCGAGCCTTTTCGGGGTTATTAATCCTAATTGGTCTAAGCCTCATAGGTGGTATTTTGGCACCACCAGTCCTTACTTCGTACTCCACCAGTTCAATACATCCTAATTCTGATAAGTTGAATGCAAATATTTTTGATACCTCATTTATCAATCGATCTTTTATATATTGTTTTTCTTCGGGCAGAAGTTCAGGCCCGAAGTTAAGCATGTCAACATTCTCCTTTGTTAATTTTCGCAACACCGCAGGCTCTGACGTCTCCAACATTGTTTCGATTCCAAAAGGTCGTTCGTCACGTGATTCATCTCAATTACTTCGATTCTTTGACTTTTCATCACCCTTTTGTAAGGTTTGTATATCTTTTTCTGTGATTTGAAACCTCCTCACAACTGTTACTTGATTAACCTCATCCTCCTCATCGTAATATTCATCTGCTTTATCATCGCTTTCGTCATCTTCGTTTTTTTCGATCCAATTCCACGGCACTACCGAGACGATAAATGAAGATTTCCTTTCCAGCGACGACACTGTGCACCAATATTCGTTTTCTTTCCAACATAGATTACACTGGGCACCAGCCAACCACGGCATTCCAAGTAAAATGTTGAAACTTGCCGATTCCATAATGTAAAAACTTTGATTCGTTTTTACTCCTTCCATTTCAACCTCTACCTGTGGTATATATCCTTTAAATTCACTTACTTTGTCATCCACCATTCTACCTTTTCCATATACCCGATCCCATCTAAGGCCCCTTTTTTTTGCATAATCTTCATGCATTAGATTTAATCAGGAACCGGGATCAATTGGCACATTAACTGGGTCTCCATTGATTAAGGCGGGCCACATAGGTACGATTTCATTTTTAATTTCTCGTACACTATTTTTCTTTACCAATCTTAACCTCACATCCATTTCCGTGATATCACCATCTCTTCTCTTTCGCGCCAATGCTTTTATAACTTCGCCTCTCGCTTTAGGGGACCATTTAAATAGTTGCCCAAGTGATATGTCAAATTTAAGGTCAGCCACGGTTTTTATAATATTCAAATCCTCTGCTAAATCCGATAGAGATATATACATAACAGAACTTTTACTTTGATTGGCTGATGATGATGATTCGGTAGGTTTCACTTCTAACATTTTTCGTAACCTTTCTCTTTTATTGGGTTTCTCGCTCACTATTTGTTCATTGTATTTCCTTTTCCCCAAATTCCTTACATTACTAATACCACGTTCTTCGTCAACCAACTCAATCATTAAATATTCCTCGTTATCCTTCATACCTTTATTAGTGAGTTCTACAAGACGTACGTCAGAATCCTTTTGACTTTCATTTTCTTTACCCAAATTACGTTCTTTTCTTTGATATCCTTCAAATTTATTGACATAACGGTCTTTTAATGCCTTGTCTGGATAGTCACGGGACATGTGGCCATCTTTTTGGCACGTAAAACACCGAAGTCCCATGTTTCGATTGTTCTGTCGTGGTATGTTCTCTTTTTTTGTTAGGTCTTTCATTGCCTTCGTCATTTCCTTTATGGCATCTTTTATTTCTTTAATGTCATCATCGGGTTTCTTTTCAACCCGGGATATTTTTAAGGCTTCCATGGCTTTCGTTAACTCAGTGATGTCAGTTTTGATGTTTTCGTCCGTTCCTTCTATCAATGTCTTATTCGCTTTTTGCACATCAAACTCATTGTCCTTATTATACCTTTCAATCTTTACTGCCAAATTCGTTGCTTCATTGTAATCGGCTGGGAAATGTTCTTCTACCTTCGATCGATACTCTCCTTTTAACCCAGCTATAAACTACTTCCGTTTTTCTCTATCACGTATTTCATTCTTGATTACATAAGCATATGATTCGAATCGGTTGGAATATCCTACTATCGATTCATTTTCCTCCTGTTTGATCCTCATTAATCTTGCAATCTTCTCTTCCACATGAAATTTTGTTTTTGCGGCCTTTTCTATCTTGGCTTTTAGGTCCGCCCAAGTATTTGTACTCTTCATCAATGCACGCACCCATACTCTCGCTGTATTAGCAACGTATAAACCAACCACCTTTTTCTTCCTATCATCATCCCATTGCTTCGATTCTGCATACATTTCAAAGTCAAAGAGAAAATCTTCTATGTCTTTGTTTTCATATCCGTGATAAAACGGTTTGGTGATATCTTGAGTTGACATGGTAGATCATTTCCGTAAAAGGTTTGATTTTATGTGGTTTTTTTTTTTTTTTTTTTTTTTTTTTTTTTTATTTATGTTGGTTTCTTATTTAAAACGTTTCGTGTTTAAATGATCCTTATTTTGAATATTCCTTAATTTAAATGTTCTTTATTTAAATGTTCTTATTTTGTTTATCTTAATGTCGTTGTTGCGAGTGTACTTTTCTTACCCAGGTCCTTCTCTGTCAAAGAGTTAAGCAATCGCTGAGGCAACTGCAATCTACCTCAGACGGCTTAAAGTTGTATAGGGTCCCACTTGGCACAACACACTTCCGTTTGCAATACACACTATGCAAGTATTTATTTATCGACAATGCTATTCTTAACTTATTGGTCTTAATGACTAAAGAATTTATTTATTTACTTTCGCTATTTATACGATTCAAACAATTACACAATTTGTACTACACTTTAACTATTTCTTTGTTTTAATTTATTAAGCTTTTAATTGTTTCCCGACTAATCGTCACATTCATACATCAGTGATCACGGTACCTATTGCACCCGGTCTCGATTATGCCCTGACACCACCACGACCCCGATTGATCACATGATCACGTGAGTCGCTCGATTCACATCTTCGCTTTACCCTACTACGTTCCGTTGTACTATACAGCTCGCAATCTATTTGTATCCCTTTTACTAAGTACAAGGGGTCTTCATAAACTACGCGACATCTATCGATTCCTGATTCTTTTTTAGATACCGGAAGTGAATTTGGTGCTTTAAATGATCCAGCAATTCACGCACTTGGATGGAAGATTGATGAGCCATCCGATTTTGCTATAAAGGGCAATTCCAAACATATTACTGATTCATTAGGATGGTATACAGATGTGCTGGTTACTATGAAGAACAAAGAGGGAAAGACAGTCACGGTCATTGGAAATTTTGTACGTATAGATAATGGTGAACCTGAACCAAAGCTATTTTTAGGCATGTCAAATATTCGAAAGCTCCAAGGTGTTCCTGAGCCAAATAAAAACCAGTTCCGCATAAAGTTACATGGAAAGACCTATGTTATTCCAACTTATAGCAAGGCCCCAGTAGCTAAAGAACCGTCAAAAGAGGAGCAGAACCAAGTATCTACCGATTCCTCTAGCCTAATTAGTGAAGACTTAAAAAAAAGTGTATAAACTGCATAAATTATGCTTTAGTGCCTTTGGGTGAGGATATGGGAATTCGTGTAAAAGAGCTTGAAAAAGCACTATTTTCTAGCATTCAATCGAATTTGGAAATTATAGGATACTACAATATTTTGCTTAATCGATATGAAAAGATTTCTCTAGGACCAAATAAGGTTGAATAATTACACTTTTTTTTCGCAAGTTCGAAAAAAGAAAAAAGTAAATACTTTTCTGAATACATGTACAGTATTTAATATATAGTGATTACCTGCTTTCTGGCTTCGAGCAAAAATTGCGAGAAGGCAGAATAAGAGCACGTCTAGATGCTCTAATTTTCTCTATTTCAGAACTAGTTCTCTTATACAAATCCAAGATATCTTCAGAGAATTTGGTAGACAAAATAATTTTTTTTATTCCAGGCATTGGTTGATTTTGAGTAATAGTTGCTTCAGAGGTGCTAGCGGACTTGGTATGATCCCCTTGGGACCGTTTCTTTCCTTCACTCTTTTTTGTCTTACTATCTGCACTTTCTTCTGAAACTAGATTAGTATATTTGCTAATTTTATCATCACGTATCTTGTTTTTCAGTGCTGTAGATGCAGAATCCAATTTATTTTGAAAATCTCTTTCAGCTTGGTGCTCCTCATTCTGTTTATCTATAACATTCGTGCTTGGAGTAACTGCTAAACCATTCCATTGAATTC